ACACAATACTACTTATACAGTATTATACAATAATACTGTTCTGGCTTACATACACATTCAACTTAACGACAGACCTTGGGAACGCAACTTGTTCTTAAACTGGGAACTACCTGTATTCTGACTTGTGTATTTTTACCTTAGGGTATCCCTTATAAGTGAACTAAATTGCCGGTTTTTTAACCTTTTTGTTTGCACGAATCCACTGGAGTTATCTTGCATTTTTCCTTGGATAATGTGAAACTCCAAATATCATCAAACCTGGCACAGTGTTTTTAAGGGTTTATGTTTGGAGGCATAAATCAAGTAATATTTATTCTCAAGATGACTATTGCAATGTAATGGTTTTACTCTGTCTCAACATATGAGCTTCAGTACCATGGTATAGAAACATATGAATGTAGTTTTGGAAATTAAATTAAAATGGATGCATAAATAGGGAAGAATAATCATCTTTAGGCTCCATTTTGGATTTACTAAGCAAAACAAAATTGGAATTGTAAAATGGTTGCCAAAATAACTAGATTCTGAACAAGACTGTATTAGTCAAAGTATGTCACCCATGAATAGATTTGAGCAAGGAAGATTATTTCAGTCATGCAGTTCTCTAGTATTAATTGACTGATAAATATACTAATAGTTTCAGTAAAAGATATTTTTCTAGAAAGTTCCACAAAGAATGTGGACTGGGCTACTTGTTTTAACATATTTTATTGGAAGTAAAATATTTCCTAAAGGAAGTCTTCTTAACTGATATATTTTCTTCATTCCAGCTCTTGGGGAAGGCAAGGACAACTTTGTTCAATGCCCCATGGAAGCCTTGAGGTGGGAAGAAAGGAAGTGCCTCATTCTAGAAGAGATCCTTGCCTATCAACCAGATATCCTCTGTCTACAAGAAGTGGACCACTATTTTGATACCTTTCAGCCATTACTCAGTCGGCTAGGCTACCAATGTGCTTTTTTCCCTAAACCATGCTCTCCGTGTTTAGATGTGGAATGTAACAATGGCCCAGATGGCTGTGCCTTGTTCTTCCTTAAGGACAGGTTTACTCTAATTAATAGCACCAACATCCGGTTGACAGCAATGAAGCTCAAAACCAATCAAGTGGCCATAGTTCAAACCCTGAAATGCAATGAAACGGGGAAACCATTCTGTATCGCTGTCACCCACTTGAAAGCCCGCAATGGCTGGGAGAGGTTTCGATCTGCTCAAGGTGCTGATCTTCTTGAGAATCTAAAACAGATCACCCAGGAGGCAGAGATCCCTCTTATTGTCTGTGGTGATTTCAATGCCGAGCCTACAGAAGAGGTGTATAAGCAATTTGCTGATTCTAGTCTGAACCTGAACAGTGCTTATAAACTGCTGAGTACAGATGGGCTGACAGAACCTCCATACACCACGTGGAAGATCCGTCCTTCTGGAGAATGCAGGCATACACTTGATTACATCTGGTATTCACAACATGCCCTAAAAGTAGATGCTGCCCTCAACCTCTTAACTGAGGAGCAAATTGGACCCAACAGACTACCATCTTTCAATTACCCTTCAGACCATCTGTCTTTAGTATGTGATTTCACCTTTAATGAAAATCCAGACAAGTTTTTAAGATTAGGTGAAATATAAAGAGGGGTAGGTAGTGTTTTAATGTACTGCGTTTGTGCAGGCAGTGACTTTTTACCATGGACTTCTAAAGACTTCTGGGGATAGGATGGGAGAAATATTTATGAATGGAGAACTAATAATCTATCTTTACTCCTATAGACTTGAAAGACTTTTTTTCATATTAACTCCATGCTATGACAAAAACCACAAACAAATGCCTGTCTGACTGCTTATGCTGTTTTCTGTTGGGTTTTTTTTTTTTTTTTTGGAAGAGAAGCGCTGCTGTTATTCAGGTCAAATTGTAACAAGCTTTTTTCCCTAAGATTTTGGGTTGTAAGATAAAACAGTTACACTGTGTGTAACATAGTTGTCCTGTCAACAGTCGATCAAACAGATGAATACCCAGGTTCCTCCCTCCCATACTGGACTAAATGACCAAATTTTGTTCAGTGTAAAGTTTAATATGAGTCTGAGTTAATTTTTTCCTGAGGTTGTCTTGAATTTTGCCTTCTTCTTGAATAAACTGAATGAGTGTTAACCTCTGAAATGCATATTGCTTTTGAAGGTATGTTCAAAGTGTATCAGAATTTCTACAGTTGTTCACCTACATGGAAGATAACAGTGTCATGCTAAGAAGCATTAATCTTGGTTCTTGCCTCTATCTGGCTATCGGATGATTGCTTTGGTTGTCCCAGTATATGCTTCCTATTTAAAGAGGCTGGGATTTCATTTCCTACTCCAAAGGGATGATGTCAGATATCTTGTATCTGCACTCCTCCTCCTTTGGGGCTGCAGACAAAGACTTCTCTACTGCCTCTCCAAACAGCTTCCCTGAAAAGGAATTTGTTGTGACATTGTCTTTTGACTGATGATCCATTTTCCAATATGTGAGCCACAGGCCATGTATCTGTCTGCATACTACAGTCTATAGAGATGTTTGACCCAAGTTTGCTGCTGCAGTTAGTTTATGGATTTGCTCTCTTAGGTGCTTGGCTTCCACAGGAATCTGAGATTATTTGTTCACACCAAGAAGTTTTGATAAGGATGGAGGAGACCTGATTCCCAGTGTGGGTTCCATGGAGTCTCTTCAGTATCCTGTCCTGTCCTATATCACTTCTTCTCCCTCAAGAACCACTGATTTAGAAAATTAGGACTGTTAACTAGTCTATGAAGATACTTGGCATATCTAGCCAATTCATGATTCCTTTAGGTAAGAGATACTATTTAATTATACTACTGTTGGATATACTTGGGCTTCATGGGTTCCACACATGCCCTTAACTATTTCAGCAAGGAGCCCCTGGGAATGGAACTCTGCATCTCACGGTTCTGTAAAGACACTGGCTGCTGAATTATGACCAAGCTCTAGGTGGGGTGATAGTGTTTTGAGGCCTTCATCCATATTCTGTCGTCCTGCCATCTTGCCTCTCTGGTTTGGTAGTGACCTCATTTTAACAGGCTGCAGTCTCCTGGCTGGTGGGTCAAGTTCTCCTGAGCATTCCTTCTTATCAACATGGGGTGGAAGAGAATGTTTTTTCAAGCTGTCAGAAGATTGCTGGTTTGTCTCATACAATGTCTAGCCTATCAAGATGGAGGAAAAGATGTTCTGACCGGTCTTCAACCCTTCTACCTTGTGGGCAGGCTCAAAGCTGGCACTGCTACCATCTTCCATCAACTCTAGAGTCCTGATAGGGCTCTTTCCCCATCTCCTAAGCCATTGTCGCAGCCCTCTTGCTTGCAGCCTCCTCCTGGTTTGCCGTGCTGGAAGGCTTTTTCGCATTGACAGGAGAGCACTGATCTTTAGCTCCCAAAATGGAGCTGCTGGAAAGTGAGTACTTCCTCTACAAGGCAGAGCATAAAGACTAGAGGAAGGTAGAGTCCTTGGGGTTCTCTGACCTTGGTTGTTTTCTTGCAGACGTTTCGTTACCTGACTAGGTAACATCTTCAGAGTACTCTGAAGATGTTACCTAGCCGGGTAACGAAACAAGAAAACAATCGAGCTCAGAGAACCCCAAGGACTCCACAGTTCAACCCTGAGCTACACATATTCGCTTCTATTGGGACTAGAGGAGGGGCTTCCCTCCATGGGACAGGAAGACTTAAACCTTGCCTTGCTGCTTAAAGAGATGGAACTAACCCCTTCTTGCGGACTCTGTCTCCCGCAACTAAGAATGCTTAGATTTTACTAAGTGTTTTGTAGTACAACATGAAGGAAGACTGGGAACTCTTATGCACAGCACTAGCAGAGTAAATGATGTCATCCTTGTTTGGATTTACACCATATTTTCCTTTCAAGTAATTTCATGAGACATATTTTAAATTACAACAGAAAGCTCTTCCAAGGCATTTATTACTATAAATAATTGTATCCCAAATAATTTACTTTGCAATATGACAATCATTACTTGCTATAAAAGAAAGCAAGATAAAATGGAGAGCACTAGAAGTGAAGACATCTTACTTTTACAGAACTGTCACATGTAAAGGACTGCAGATGGCCAGAATACAATAACTGAGATAAAGCACTGTCCAATATTCTTCAAAATAGTTATTGTAAATGTTATATCAAAGTATTCCCACTTTAATGCAGGGCAATTCTTAAGTTTAGAAATTCATTTTCATGGATTTCATTTCTTCAGTAAAAGAGAGCATAAAACCTCTTTCAAATCTCCCTTACCTTGGATTTTAGGGATAATTCTGCTGCAAAAATGGAGTATCAGCCAACCCTTTAAAGTCCCCTTGCCAAAAGAGAGCTGTAAACCCAAGATCACAAATGCTGCAGATAATTCCAGCATTGTCATATATAGTATGGTCTGGGATCAAGCTGTAAGAGTTCTAGCTTTGTTCACTTTCCCATATTCCTCATCAACTGTTACCTCAGTTTCAACTATACCTAACTCTGCAAGATCAGGAGATATTTCCCCCACGTACTTCTCCAATAGGAGAGGGAAATGTTGATGTCCTTAAGTGACATCATGATGGCCACCTATTTTTAAACCAAGTAAATCTCCAAACGTCCTGAAATGTTTCTTCAGAACATGTCAAAATAATAAATTTTATATTTTTATAACATAATAAAAAGAAATGTTTATATTTTGATGCAGCATTGGCAAATTAGCAGCTGAACTGAAGGTAAGTTAATGAAGTTCCCCAACTTTCATACCAAATACTAATTATACAGTTTTCAACCTGCCAGGAGCTTTCAGCTGCTTGGCTAAAATCCATGGGCTGGGAGTTGCAGGACAAACCAGTCTTGTGAAATGAATCACAGCCAGTGTCTAAAATACCAGTGTAACAATGGCCTGCCAACTATGCCTGGAAAAGTTGTAGTCCTTGCCCTTTGCTCTGTTCCTCATCTCAAAAGAACAGTTAACACAAACTGTGTGGAGACCCACGTGTCAGCACTTCACTCTTGGCCTTGCTGTCCCAGCCAACAGCCTGAACTGAAGGGAAAGGAACCGGTGAGCCGGTTCTTTCCTCCTGGACAGGGCTGAGTTAGCAGCTGGCCTCAGGCTTCCACTCTGGGGTAGGCAGCCACTTGGTCTCATCTGAAATACTTTTCCTTGCCAAGACAGATTTTGCTGCACTTTGGACCAATCCTGCAAATGCTGCTCTGCAAAATACAGAATTTTGGGAAAGCAAACTTCCACAAAAGCTCCCAGTTTGGTTCTACCCTACTGGTTATAAATGACTTCAGTTTTCCCAAAGTTGCAGTTGTTGCCCTTCTTAGGTAAAACTTTTGCCTGAAATGAAATTAAGGCTTTATTCTAATGCAGGTCTTGCTGGCAGTGTTCCTCATAGGTTTTTAGGCTGATCCCTTTTTCTAAAATGTATGAGAGCTTACAACATTCAAAAGCATTAAATATGGATTTGGGTAAGTACATTTCTTGGAGATTACACTGACAGAATAGCTTGAATGGATGATATTTTCACTGGGGAAGCAGGTTCAAAATATGGAGTAAGTTCAAATAGCTAATTAAATATATCAAAAGTAATTAAGTGGCCATCTGTTTTTTTGTCTAACCCAGGGTTCCTCAACCTTGGCGACTTGAAGATGTGTGGACTTCAACTCCCAGAATTCCCCACCAGCATGGCTGGCTGGGGAATTCTGGAAGCTGAAATCCATACATCTTCAAGTCGCCAAGGTTGAGGAACCCTGGTCTAGCCTTATGCAGAATGCTCCCAAACTAGTGACTTCTTTGACATCATTCAATCCAGAATCCAAAAGGAAAACAGGCACATGCAGTACTTCAGATTCAAAAGCAGAAAAAATTGCAGTTGTCAATCCCAGAAAAGGCATGCCTGCTTAAGGAGTTGCAGGCAGATGCTACATTCACACCCATACACTCCAAATTTTTGCCTTAAAATCCAAAGCGCTACAGAGTCCAGAAACAATGGGAATTGTTTTGGTTTCCCTTTCTGAACTTAACCTGCCAGGATGACAAAGAAGAAAACTTCATTAATTTATCATCACCAAAGCTGGTCGCAAGCCGTAAACCAGGCATTCTGCCTTCTTTCAATTTGACAAAGTTGTGTTACCTTTATGTCCCCCCACCCCCCTGCCTTTCCAAGGAAGCTCTAATCCCATTCACCTCCTAAGAAGCTGGCTTTTGCTACTCTAATTAATTTGGAAACTGCAAGACAATGTAACACAAGCATAAAGGCAATTCCAGTCATCTAATTCCTGCTGTTAATGATTTAAATTAGACTATTATACAAGTGTTTTCCACTCTTTTATCAAATTTATCAATATTGCTGCTATTTTCGGTAGAACTGAGATAATTCACTTAATTCTTTGGTATATTTTCTGGTTTGGTGCTATTTCTGAAACTAAGTTTTGAGAACTGAAGTACAAAACTATGTAGGACTTTTGATCTGGATGAACACCAGAGGGCATATTAAGGCTTGGAAAAAAGAGACACCAATTTTAAATTTCATATCTGTATTTCAGTAAAACCTACTTGAATACACTTTGAAACAAGAGTACAACAAAATAGAATATACTTTAAATGTTGAATATACAAACTATTATAGTTCATTCTGAACACTGGTACTTTCCTCTAACTTCAACTAAAAAATATACAGGCTTTTAATCTACCTGACAAGAGTTCATGCCAAGCGTGACCTTTCAAGTGACAGAGTAAAAGCTGAAATTGAAATGTATGCACAGATGTCCAGGCGAAGTGGGTGATCCAAGCAGCGAAAGGCCAAACAACCTCTGGCCACTTTGACCACAATTAAGAAACCAACAGACTTGACTACCATACAAAATATGTTACATGTAATTCTATAACAATACTGTGCTAGGTATAAGATTTTTTTAAAAAATTGTTTTAATAAAAAAATGCTTTACACAAACAAGCCATTAGCTTATTTCAACAAAGGTAACTGAAAATCAGTCTAAGGCTTTTGTTTTAAAATCTGCTTAAGCTGCATGGGACAAAAAATTCTCTAAGTCTTCAACTTCTTGTAGAAGCTCTTTAATCCTTTCCTTTATTCACATTCAAGAATACCTAGTAGCAGAGTTTTTCACATAGCACCAGTTAAACACTGTGAGTACACAGTAGTAATTGCTGGTATGCATATTCAAATGCATCAAATGTGTCTTGTGTAACAGTGAGCCTCTTCCTAGATGCCCCCTCCATCTACATAAGCCAAGAACCCCTCACAGAACCAGTTTAGTGTTCCATGCCTTAGTGTAACCTGGTAATGCAGCGAGCCTCTTGAGCGCTCACCCACTATTCCCTTCGGTTCCAGGAATTTTCTTTCTTCATCAGCTTAACCCCGGTTTACAAGAGGCAATTGTGTCAGTGTGTAGATCTAGTTCAATTCCCACTGAAACATGGGACATTATTTTGCTTCCAGTAAGTTTCTAATATATGCATAACTATTAACAATTTTTAAAAAACAGTTCTTTCACTTCTTGATTGTGTCCAATTCCCTGGCTTCCTAAATATGTCAGTTTGCTTAATTCCACAATGGTCTATGTAATTAATGTTCACAGCTGCCTTTTTTCATTTCTCGCATGTTACTATTCCTTCTGTTTTTACTTGTACAGGGAGGGCAATAGCTGAGGGTGTACTAACGACGACAACATGAGTGACTGTTTTGGTTCCATCTGCTGGTTTCTCTTCTTGTACTAGTTGCAGGGTCTTAATCTCCCGTTCCTGCTTTAAAGCCACTGCTTCAGATTTGACCTCTGGACTTTTTATAACTGCACTAATTACTCTGGGTGGAGTATGGCTACTTGCCTGCTGGGCAGGCATTGATAATCTCATCACTGGTGTCCCGTGAGCTAAAGATACTGGAGTAAGTGCTCTCACAGCCAGAGGTGTTCCAACTATGTTAATACTTCCCGTCCCTGGCAAACCAGTTTTTGTTTGCAACTGGCACTGTGCAAGTTGTGTAGCAGGGATAGTGATTATTTTTGTAGGCTGCATTGTTATTTTCTCTCCATTCTCAGCAGATGACGGCATCACTGTAGGGATTGTCTGGATAACTACCTTTGGGGTTGTTGCTGTTGTTGGGCTTGTGCTGGTAATCAATGGTGACCCTGCGTTTACAGACTGCACTGCAACAGTTGATATTTTCTGTCCCAGAGATGTCATTACAACAGGCACTTGCATAGCCACCCGAACAGTTCTGTCAAACAGTTGAAGATAAACACTGCATTAGGACCAAAAATTTGTGATTCAGACACATATTTTAAATAAACAAATGGTCCTTTTTAATCAAGAAGGAACAATTATCATCTTTTATAAATGTGAAGTGAAAACAAAAGTGTCTTCCTCTACCCCAAACCCAAACTTGATTCTTTGAAGTTTCAGGACTTAATTTATCTCTCCTTATTGCTACTAAAATAAAGGTAGGATATAAATCTAATAAATAACAGAACAAAGCAAAACGAAACACTTACGTTTTAGATTAACTAAACAGTTGTTTATTTTAAGTTGACAAATCCCTGGTAAGGCAACAGTAAAACCATTTGGAAACAGAAAGGCAAGGAAGCTACAAAGTAACAGCCCTGCTTAAGCCAAGGATTGCACATGGCTCCTGCTCTAAGCATTTTTAACAATATCACAGAAGCCAAAAAAATATAAAAACATCCCAGGGAATAATTATGTATTATATTTAGTTTTTAAAAAAATATATAAACGAACTTAATTTTAATTTTTACCCTGATTTTGCATACCAAATGGCTCTTGACCTAGACCAGTGTTTCTCAACCTCAGCAACTTTAAGATGCGTGGACTTCAACTGGCTGGGGAATTCTGGGAGTTGAAGTCCACAGATCTTAAAGTTGTTGAGGGTGAGAAACACTGACCTAGACCACTCAATATGTAAATCATACAGCACTAACCTGGGAGCAGTTGTTGCTGAAACAGTAGTTGTGGTGGGAGAACAAGACGACATTTCATGCCCAGGTGAGGAGATACTCACTCTGGCAACAGACTTCTCTGATCTTGTGCAGGTCAACTGAGAAGTGTTTTTTCCTACACGAGCAGAACTCGCTGTTTTTAAGAGGTTTTCTGCAGACAGTGATACACGTTCCAATGACTTCTCATCAGTGGACATTGATAAATCTTCACTGCCACACTCATTTTTGTCATCAATAACAACAATATTTTTCGGCATTTCCTTGAACTGATATACTAGCCTTTGTCCTTCAACTTTTGCCAGAATTCCTCTTTGATAATAGTATCTGCAAGAAGTACAAAAGTGTGTAACATTAGTCTAAGCAACTTCTTCCATTAGGTTTCTAACCTTCAAGTTATTTTCTTCATAGAGGCAGAATCTCCATTTTCTCTACCTAAAATTACATATCAGTACTTAATTTTAGAAGACAAATGAAGTAAGGAATGTTTCTCTTAGGAATGAAAAAATTGGAGCAATGTTAGTTTAAGAGCATTAAAAGAGGCTGTAGAGAAAGCATGATACCTATATTACCTTAAAACAAACAACTTCAATATTTTTCGTCTCATTTTTTCTTTATTTTTTTTCTTTACCTCAAGGCTCTTCCCATTGTCTCATAGTTCATGTCAGGCTTGTTCTTGTGTTTTCCCCACAACTTGGAAACTGCTTTTGAGTCCACAAGTTTAAAAATGCCCTTTTCTCGCTGAGTCCATTTGATATATCGAGGGCAAGTATTTTTGTCTTGAAGTAAATCCAGAAGGAATTCCCACAAATAGGTTGTATTTCCTACAATAAAAACATATATTTCAAAGCAAATCAAAGAGTTAATTACCTACAAACAAACAAAATCATGTAAAATATCCTGGCTAACTATTGGAATAACATTAATTACCATGTTACATAATATCTTTATGAAAGTTAGACATATATTAAATACATTTTCAAAACGGGCAGAAACCAAATTGCTAAAACCACAGACAATTTTGTTTTACTTATTTAAAATGTTCAGTTGAGGTCAAACAATAAAGAGCATGGTATGGCAGAATATCCACCAGATATCCACAGGTCAAGAGCCTTTCTAAACTATGAATTCGCAGTGTAATTTTTAGCATTTTTCCAATCATCTGCAGACACATTTGTAGTTTCCTAAATGAGCAAGCCATGCTCTTATTTTTGGAATTAAAGTACTCTTAATTATTAATTTCATTTCAAATCTCTTTCTCTACATAAATAAACAAAAAAGAAAACACAAAGAAAAAAATGTTGAAATTTGAAGTTATTTATTATTTGAAAAGTCTCTAGTTAGCATCAAGTTTATTAAAAGCTTGATCAGAAATATATATCAAAAGAATATATTCTTTAAAAAGTTTCAAATATTTTTCCCAAGAAGCATTTAATAATAATAGCTTCAGGATTGAGACAAGTTTTCTTAAAAGCATCATAAAATCCACTATTCTTATATCAGCAAAAAGAAAACAAACACTCCAACTCACTTTAAGCAAGATTTCTAAGCAGCAAGACAAAAATGAATGTCAATCTCAGATCTTTTAAAAAAGGCTCCCATTCTGAATATATGTGGATATATTAAAAAATATATTTCGTAATATATTTATCAGAGGTGATCTGAGGGACCACCTCTCCCCGTTTACATCAGCCTGTCCCATTAGATCTGGCAGGGAAGGTATGCTACACATTCCATCAGCCAGTGACTGACATTTGGCCTCCCTCCTTATGGTACGTTCTCCCTCCTGAAATTAGGCTCACCCTTTCCCGGCTGTCCTTTAGGAAGTTCCTCAAGACCTGGTTATGTCATCAGGCCTGGGGGTCTTTGGGAACCAGAGACATTCTTAGATGGCTCCACTGTAACTGATATTTTGCTGTGAAGTCTTTGGGGTTCTCTGAACTTGCAAATGTTTCATTGCCCGGCTAGGTAACATCTTCAGTGCACAATGAAACATTTGCAAGGAAAGAACCAAGCTCAGAGAACCCCAAGAACTCCACAGTTAAACCCTGAGCTACACATATTCACCGCTATTGATATTTTGCTCTCTCCATGGGGTTTGTATATTTTAAAATTTAATTTTAAAAAAATTATTATGTTTCCATTTCAATTATCACTTTTTATCTTTTTATAATGATTTTTATCCAGCTGTTATTTTATTTAATTGTTCTATGCCACCCAGAGTCGCTTTGTGTGAGATAGGCAGCTATATAAATGTGACAAACAAACAAACAAACAAATAGCCAAATACTTGTGTGCCTTAAAAGCTGCTATGAATTTGGGGACAGGGGTGGGTGGGATATATAGCAGGTTCTTCTCTAACTAATGCTATTAGACAATATAAAGGTCTATGTAAATAAACATAATATACAACATACCATCACACATCTACACATACAAACCATGTATAGTTAACATACTGTATAAAGACCCATTAGCAAAGTATTATTTTGATACCCCAGAGTTTGCAAATGCAAACCAGAAGAAATTTTCTGGCCAGTAATGTTTCTTTCTCTCACCTACCTAAGGGAATGAGTCATCTATAACTTTGTCCAACCATCAAAACACCAAGAAACAAATATTACAGCCTTAAAGAACTTTACTAGAAAGAAATATTTGATGAGATCAATTAAATACCAATGAGCAATTGAATAAGGCTAATACACAGATGTGCAACCTGTAAGTGAGGTCTTATTCTAGTCAAACTGGTGAGTCCATGGACAGGTGCCTGTCATTTTCCTGACAAAGTGCAGAAGAGGTCTGTCTTCTGCTGTATTTTTTTTTTTAACTTCTCATTCTGGTCTTACAGTCCTCATATTTCCTGGGGGTCTACCATTCAAATACTAAATAGGTCCAGTCCTACTTAGCTTTTCAAGATTAGTCAAGACTGGTTAGATGCTATCACTCTCTGGGGCATACAACTAACAGCAGGATCAACTATATCAATATTGGGAGAGAAGAGGAGAAGAGCTTTAACATCTCTAATCTGAAATCTCAATCTAAGCTTTATAATGACTATATGGGGAGGGAAGCCTCTCCATATCAGAGATCTTGAAACAATCTTGTTCTGCTGGAGTGAAAAGAAACCTGAAGGAAAGGCTTTGTGGAGAACCAGTGTGATGTAGTGGTTAAGATTTTGGACTAGAAATGAGAAGACCAGGTTCAAATCCACCCTCAGGCATGCAAGGTCCCTAAGTGACTTTGAGCCAGTCATTCTCCCTCAGCCTAACCTACCTTGTTGTTGTGGGGTAAAGTGGGGAAGGGGGTGCTATGTACACTATCTTGTGCTCCTGAAGAAAAGTCGGGACATAATCTAACAGTAATAAATACTCTGCAAATATGCAAACTATTACTGCAGATCTTCAGCAGAAGTATCAAACCTCAGCTGAAAAAAATCACATTGCCCAAGCCACGTACAGGCAGAAACAGATACCAGAAAGCAAAACTCTAGCAGTAAGTAATTTTAAATATTCTTACCTGGTTAGGGGAAAAAAAGCTTCAAAGCTCTAAAAAGACTGACTATAATTAACCAGTATTGTTAGGCATTCATGTTATGGGGATATTATGTTTTGCTAGATATTTCACAATATTTAAAATAAAACATAATTAGAATATTACCTTTGCCCTCCCTTGGCTTCTTTTTTATTCCCAAGTCTGGAGATGCACTGGAAATGGCTGATGGCACTTGAGATTTTGGCTTACGGCCAGCTGCAGAGAACAGTTTGTTAGAGTGAAACAGTCATTTAAAAATAATATTTCTCACCTTCGGTTCTCTCACAGTTTAGTTTAACCTAAATAAATCATCAAGGCTAATCTTATGTAATTTTCCACATACTGATGCAGAACGTTAATATGTCCTACCTGCAACCCAGAACACTATAGCAGAGTAGAACAAAGGTAGGGTGCAACCATAATTATAACCATGTCTGTCGTGTCAAGATAAAGTCAATTGATGTATTCATTCAATCAAGGACCATTAAGGCTGAACTTGAAAGTATTTATTTTTTAAGTAAGCATTTACAACTGCTTATTTGCAAGTCAATTTTTACCTGTTCCAACCAAATAGTAATCAGTGGAACACCTACTACCTACAGTCAGGTCCAGAAATATTGGGACATCGACACAATTCTAACATCTTTGGCTCTATACACCACCACAATGGATTCGGAATGAAACAAACACAATGTGCGTTAACTGCAGTGACCCAAAGCATACTGCAAAAGCAACCAAAGAGTAAAACAACTGTGGTGGATGACCGAAGAATCCTTTCCCTGGTGAAGAAAACACCCTTCACAACAGTTGGCCAGATCAAGAACACTCTCCAGGAGGTAGGTGTAGCCATCATTAGGCTGAAGAAACAAAACAAACCCATCAGAGAGATAGCAAGAACATTAGGCGTGGCCAAAACAACTGTTTGGAACATTCTCAAAAAGAAGGAACGCACCGGTGAGCTCAGCAACACCAAAAGACCCGGGAGACAACGGAAAACAACTGTGGTGGATGACCGAAGAATCCTTTCCCTGGTGAAGAAAACACCCTTCACAACAGTTGGCCAGATCAAGAACACTCTCCAGGAGGTAGGTGTAGCCATCATTAGGCTGAAGAAACAAAACAAACCCATCAGAGAGATAGCAAGAACATTAGGCGTGGCCAAAACAACTGTTTGGAACATTCTCAAAAAGAAGGAACGCACCGGTGAGCTCAGCAACACCAAAAGACCCGGGAGACAACGGAAAACAACTGTGGTGGATGACCGAAGAATCCTTTCCCTGGTGAAGAAAACACCCTTCACAACAGTTGGCCAGATCAAGAACACTCTCCAGGAGGTAGGTGTAGCCATCATTAGGCTGAAGAAACAAAACAAACCCATCAGAGAGATAGCAAGAACATTAGGCGTGGCCAAAACAACTGTTTGGAACATTCTCAAAAAGAAGGAACGCACCGGTGAGCTCAGCAACACCAAAAGACCCGGGAGACAACGGAAAACAACTGTGGTGGATGACCGAAGAATCCTTTCCCTGGTGAAGAAAACACCCTTCACAACAGTTGGCCAGATCAAGAACACTCTCCAGGAGGTAGGTGTGTGACCCAAAGCATACTGCAAAAGCAACCAAAGAGTATTATTATTCTGTCCCATTACTTTTGGTCCCTTAACAAGTGGGAGGCACATATGCAAACTGTTGTAATTCCTACACCGTTCACCTGAGTTGGATGTACATACCCTCAAATTAAAGCTGACAGTCTGCAGTTAAAGCACATTGTGTTTGTTTCATTCCAAATCCATTGTGGTGGTGTACAGAGCCAAAGATGTTAGAATTGTGTCGATGTCCCAATATTTCTGGACCTGACTGTAAGTAAAAATATCAATCCAAATAGCCTTTCTAGGCAAATGATCATACAAGAGAAAATATGCTTTTTTTCATGTTGTTGCTATTTTTAGTTGTCCCACACACGTACACATATACACAAAGTACCTTTCTTTTTTTTCATGGGCTCATGGATTTCTGGAGATGTTCGTGAAGGAGATGTATCCATTGGTTCAGATTCCTCAGTAGATACCTCCACAACAGTTTCTGTAATTACATCTGGTCTCATTGCAGCATGGATGAACTCTGGAGTTGACACACAAGGCGGAACAAAAACTTCTACTAAGGAAAGCAAATAAATAAATAAGGTAAGGTTTGCATGTTTTAAAAAATCCAGATTTTTCAAGTTACAAAATAAGCTAAATCTGTTTTAAATTTTGTAAACATTCTCAAAAGGAGCCAAATAAAAAATAAAGCTTTCTCATAATTCATCTGCATTCAGTTGCTAGAATACCCACAAATATTGTAGTGCTGCCTTTATTATATGACCCAACGTGAGCTAGATCTGTATTTTTTTTTTTGCAAAAGAGTAATTGTTCCCAGTACTGGAATGTTTATACACATTACACTCTGGAAATAACTAGTTTATGTATAGTTCTATATGACATTCATTTTATAAATTGAGAGAACTAGGATTTCCTATTGAAATGAACCCCAATTCTTGATTAAATATTTCAGTCTCAGCTAATCCTTAGATGTCATAGTTTGTTCCTCATTAGCATACTATTTCCTTCAATTTTATAAATTTTGTCACTATCACTAGTTCTAAACCACAAATTGCATGTTAAGATAACAATGAAATCTGCAATGAATATGGATAGTTTTAACCTGATGATACAAAATGAAAGAAAATTAAAACCAAGATACGTGAAAACATTGTTTTCTATTGGCTTCAGTTAAAAAAACACCTAAGATATGTTTATTAATTGATGTACAGATCAATCTAAACAGATACTTACTACATGGAAATTCCCTGGAAACAGCTTATGTGCAGTATCTGCTCCAAATAACAGCTATAATTCACACAGTGATTCTCTATGTGCAACATTCTTTTCATGCAGTAATGTAACATTGCATTGTGTAACACTACATACCATATGCAGTGTATAATTTGTAGACCAGTTTTTAGGAACAAAACTACTCATGTCCTATGAGCAGAAAGGCATACTTAAATACTAACTGAATTAAGATAGCTCTAGGGTCTGGAAAAAGCTAAATATACTAAATATTATTTATCTGGTCCCTTTTCAGTTGGGTTTCAAGCCCGAATTTGGGACTGAAACAGCACTGGTCGCACTCTTGGATGATCTCTGGCGGGAGCGGGATGGGGATAGTGCATCCATCCTTGCTGTTCTTGACCTCTCAGCGGCTTTCAGTACGATCAACCATGGTATCCTTTTGGGTTAACTTGGGGAGTTGGGGGTGGGCAGCACAGTTTTGTGCTGGTTCACCTCCTTCCTCAAAGGCCAGTCCCAATTGGTGTTGATAGGGAGCGAGAGGTCCAGCACGCGACCCCTCCTTTGTGGGGTGCCGCAGGGTTCGGTACTTTCCCCGCTCCTTTTTAACATCTACATGAAATCACTGGGCAAGATCATACACCACCATGGGATGAAGTATCATCAATATGCAGATGATACCCAGTTATACATCTCCATCCCAGGTGATCTGAGTGATGCTGTGACTACCCTTTCGCGGTGCCTGGAAGCTGTGGGGTTCTGGATGGGGAACAACAGGCTTCAACTGAACCTTGGTAAGACGGAGTGGCTGTGGGTTGGGGGCTCCTCTGTATCCGGAAGTTTACCATCTTTGGTTCTGGATGGGGTCACACAACCCCAGACAGACCCGGTGCGGAATCTGGGGGTCCTCCTGGACTTATGACTCCTGCATGAAGAGCAGGTAGCCGTCATGGCCAGGGGGCCTTTGCTCAACGGCCTTTGCTCAAAGTCTCAAAGGCCTTTGCCTTTGTGTTGTGCACCAGTTATGCCCTTTTCTGGATTGGGAGTCCCTCCAGTCAGTCACTCATGCCCTAGTCATCTCCCGTATAGACTACTGCAATGAACT